TTCATCTGAATATTATTTTTATTACATCATACATTTTCTGTGCAGATGGGTACGGTCAGTTTTTAGTGCAGGAGGCCAGCTCTCCAAATACTTTTACCTTTGTGGGAAGAGAAGGGTGACAGGTTTTCTTTTTTAACCATTTCTTTAAAGTGGTGACTGTTGCTGTCATGTCTGAGGACAAAATGTACATCTTAAGTCAATTTAAACAGCTTCCTCTTTCCACTCTCACTCCATTGTCATGATTTTTTCCCTTTCCACCATTTCCTTTCAAACGTGAGGGAAGTATGAAATAAGCTCTCAACTTCGCATTTTATCCTATGTACGACATAGTCTCTCCCCCCCTTTTATGTGGTTTTGAACAAAGATGAAGCAGCCACCATGTTGTAGAAAGCTGTGGCCTCTTTCTTAGCTGAATATTCCATGTCTCCCACCAGTTCCCTGGTCAGCGAAGAGAATCCTTGCACATGAGGGTGCTTATATACAGTGTACTGCAGTATGCGTGGATTGGGAGGGTCAGTGGATTGTGGCGCTGATCAAACTAGCTTTAGAAGAGAACCAGAATGAGGCATTTCATGGCCAAACTAGACACTGCATGCAAGATCTCCTGACATCTTTTTTTTTTTAACCCTTAAAAGCAGTTGCAGGAAGGAGAATTAAATTAGATTGAGGAAACAGTGTTGGGGAGAGGTGTTGGCCCCCTTCCCCATTTTCCTAATCAAAACTTTCCTTCACCAGAATCTTCAAGGGAAAAGATGGGTACCTATATCCACTTCCTGGAAGTTAATAACAGCTTTGAGGGGGCAATATATATTTGGGGGGGGGGGGATGTTTCGTTGTTAAGATAAAATACTGACTAGACACAGACAGGTGGTCTGGGGAGAGGCTAAATCTGCATTCGGTTTGAATGCAGATAGTTTTCCCTCCAGCTTCTCATTCTTTGTTATGGTTGGAGTATTTAAATACCATCTGATACACAAAGAAGTATGATTGTAATTTGGTATACTGGTTGACTGGTTATTTTATTCTGCAGGTCTGTATTACTTCACACCCACACCCACACCCAGTTACTTACCTGGTTTTTTTGGTGCCTACACACTTTTGTATGCAACATACAAAATACAAGATAAGCAACAATTGAGGGGACAATTTTGATTTGAAAAATAACGCAGGGAGGCTAATGTTAAATCAGTGCCATGGCCCCAAACCAATTTGGACCCTTATTGGTTCCCCTTCGATTCTGAAATAGACATCAAGAAAGCCAGTTGTCTTATTTAGTTTGGTTTCAGACACCTTTGTAAAAGCAGTCAGCAAGGGAAGAAGACGAGGTAGAGAAAATGCTGTAGCCCAGGGGTTGCCAACATTTTTTTTACTAGTGGGCATATTCTGAATTTTGAGAAAGTGCTGAGAGCTCATCACAAAATGAACTGGGTGTGGCGTAACACACAACTGGAGAGACAACCACCGCTGACAATCTTATGCTTGCCATGGGAAGTCAGCTAGGTCTTGCTGGTCCTGGTTATGGAGAGATCTCTCTCTCTCTCTCTCTCTCTCTCTCTCTTTCTCTCTCTTTCTCTCTCTCTCTCTCTCTCTCTCTCACACGCACACACACACACACACACAGAGAGAGAGAGAGAGAGAGAGATGCCGTTCCTGTCTAAGCAGCAACAGAAAGCATTCCTCAATACCAGGAAGAAATATACAAGGAAGCCATGTCACTCTCATTTCATCAAAATCACTTAAAAGGTACCTGCACATTTTGCCCCACAATTTTATTTATAGGAAGGCTAGAGGCTTCCTTTTTTATTATTTAATGGAAGCTCAGAGTCTGGGGCACCTGCCTAGGTGCACCACTGAAAGCCTTCACAGTGGTGCTATTGCCATAAACTTCCATATATTCCCTTCCTTACAACTAGCACAACAATTTTGAGGGCTGTGACACTAACCCTCTGTTGCTTAGGGTGTGGGGGTTGCATCTGTCAATCTTTGCTCAAGGATCTTCTTACCCCACCTATAACTTCACACCTACTTTCTAAATTTCCTGTGCCCCATACTTGGAGAACCACAACTTTAATCTACTTTGCCATCTTTTCTCTCAAAGTGGAGTTTCCGCCACTTGGATCCTCTTTAAAGAAAACCGAACATCTAGCAGCTTCTTTCTTAATGGGAGTTTCCTCTCTCCAGTCTCATGTTTAAGCCCCTCTAGCCTTTTGGCTCCAAAGAACAGATTTGGAACACGAAGTGGAGAATGTTCTATCCCAAGCACCCACACACTCTTGGCTACTAAAAAAAAAAAAGAGGACAGCCGGAGTATATATTTCATCTCTTTTTATAACCGTACCCATTTTTATATAGTGATATAATAACAAGTACTATATAACTGCTGAGCCTTCTAGGTTGAACTCCCTTGGGAGTAGATGACAGCGGGCAGATTATTTAAAAACAAAGAATCAGCCCCTGTAGCCAGTGAATCCAGCTGGTCAAAGTTCTCTGTCAGTTGATACTGAACATAACACATCGGTGTATTTTTACCCGGAATCATGTGTGCTTCTTTAAGTTGGTTGGGCCTTTGGAAGTTTGTGGCGCAATTTGAGCTAACTTCTGTTAATTTGGCAGTATGAAGTTGACTAGGTTTGTGGACAGTGACCATTTTTACATTAGTTTGAGCATTTCATTCCTCATGCCAGGCACTGCTTGTTTTTATGGACGTTGAGCATGACTAGCGGGTTATGACATTGCTGCTTTTCCCATCCTGCAAAGCACATGTTTTTAGAACATGAGTGGCCATCTTCTAAGCGCCACAGGCAGTTAAAGCCTGTGGCTTCCTGCACAGCAGCAGGAAGACCAAATCGTGGCATAGAGCATATGTACGCATCAGCAGCTTAAAATGCTAGGTTATTTCCATTAGTGCATTTCAAGTCACATTTTTACATTGCTGTACACAATGTGGGCGGGTGTGTGTGTGTCTGCACCCAGTGCCCATTGCCCAATTTGCTTCCCCACACCTGCAACCAGATTCCTGTCTCAAATGTACACACCTCAGCTTAACCATGATTTGTGTTTTCAAATTGGATGGAAGCAGGTTTGAGGAAAAGCTGGTCAAACAGAAGTATTTTTCGTTAAGCAGCAGGAAACACATGGATTGTGGCTAACACCATGTTTGTTTCATGATTGATTGATTTAATGCATCTTTATACCTGTTGGTTTCTGCTTTCCTTCACTGTGCAGCTCTGCTTGTCATGAGACAGGTGTTTACATTCCACAGTCTGTACTGTTGGAGTTTCTCACGGGAAAGGGAGACTGGATGTGACGTACACTGGTTTCCTGTTTTTTCACTGTGTGATTCTCTCCGAGCTGTCGAGGAGAGAGGATGCATTTCTCTGCTTCGGCAGAGGCAAGATGTCTTTCTGTAATATACCAGCTTTGAACTGTAAATAAAGCAATAAGAGTATGCAGCACGTATCGTCATCCTTCCGCTGGGCACGACAGACTCTGCTTTAATTCAACACGTGGTTATGGACTCCAGAGGTCGAATCGGAGTGCCGGCAAAGGATCGGAATGCAGAGGGACGGATCGGAAAGGAATCTGCTCTGCGCGTAGAAGTGATTGATGAGGTATGTGCTACTGCTCCGGGCAGCCTGCCAGCTTCAAGATAATGGCTTTATGGCTGGACTTTGAACTTTTAAAGCCGGTTTTGCAAATAGGCAAAAGGCTCCCAGGCACAAGTCACTATGCTGGGGAAATCGAAGTAACTTTTAAGTGTGCCTTTGTAATGAGGCAGCTGCAGCAGTGACGCAGCAAGATTTAAAGCAGCATATGACGCTGAAGGCTAATGCCAGAGTCATGATGGCCCTTCAGGATGCTTGTGGGATTCCTAAGCTCAACAAGAATAATTACAGCGACTGGGTTCAGTATGCAGAGGCAATTCTGCGGAAAGAGGGTTTGTTTGAGGTGATTACAGGAACCCCCAGTTCCAGTTACAGATGCATGGGAAGCTAAGGATTCCAAAGCAAGGGGAACTCTTACATTGATAGTATCCCCAGAAGAGCTCTGTCTATTGCGTGATAAGACCTCAGCCAGAGAAATTTGGGACGCTCTGAGAGAGGCTCACTTAAGGACAGAAGCTGGATCCACTATGTATTACTTTAACAAGCTGCACAATATGGCTCTTGCTGAAGGTGGAGATGTACGTTTACATCTGATAGAGATGCAAAATCTGAGACATGAGCTGCAACAGAGAGGACTCAACTTTCCAGAGGCTGTGTATTCTTTCATGATACTACAATCTTTGGGTTCAGGTTGGGAGTCTGTTGCAACCCAGATTGCTGTGCAACCAACTGCTCAGCTGACAGTGGACTTTGTTACTGCCGTGATTTTAAATGAAGCAGATCGCCGGGTGCTAGCTGCATGGGCAAGGGGAGTCTTCACAGACGTCATCCCATAGTGCAGTGGAACCACCAGATGGCGCCAAAGCTTTGAAGGCAGTGAAATGCTACTCGTGTGGACGTCTAGGCCATATGAAGAGGGAATGCAGACATCCCAGGGCCAAGACAGAGCAGCGCAGCGAAAGCTCATCGCGCGGAAAAGGCCGAGGCAAAGGCAAAGGTCCGGTGTATAGGACAACGCAGCACAAGGCTATGGTTTCACGCTTCACTCCAAAGGTTGCAGAGGTCCAGAAGACGTCTAGATCTTTCTTCGTTATTGATTCAGCGGCCACCCACCACATGTGCAACGATAAGAAACTGTTTGTGTCTTTTACACCGCAGGAAGGTGCGATTCACCAGGCGGATGACCACACTATTCCCAGTAAAGGCTACGGAACTGTTGTTCTTCACAGTTTGGACTTATCGATACAGAATGTGCTTTACGTGCCAGACGCCAAACATAATCTGCTCAGCGTTGGACAGCTGAATGAGCGGAACATTGACGTTTCCTTCAAGAACAAGAAGTGCATCATCACAAAGAAAAATGATTATGTATTGCATGCAGAATATGTTGATCGTTTGTTTGTTTTGTATTATGATGATGTGGTGCAGGATGACACTTGTTGCATTGCAGGTTCTAACAAAAGTTTGCATGCAGAATGTATTCACGATTTTCATCGCAAATTTGGTCATTTGCATTTTGAGGCAGTATCTAAAATGCCTGCCTTGGTAGAAGGTATGACTATTAAACCCTGCAGGTACCACATGAAGTGCAAAGCATGCGCAGCAAACAAGGTGAAAATGGCTGCGAAAGGTAAGGTGTCTAGTAGGAAAGCTACAGAACCATACCAGGTTGTTCATGCTGATTTGGTTGGACCACTAGCACCCTCTTTGGGTGAAAATAGATACTTCATGGTTCTCATTGATGCATTTTCTAGATATATTTTTGTGTACAATCTGAAGCAGAAATCGGAGGCTTTTCCTAGGTTCAAGGAATTCTGTGCTTGGTTGGAAAATGTGCATGGTAAGAAGATAAAGACTCTTTTCAGTGATCGCGGGGGGGAATTCACTTCTCAGCAGTTTGAAGCTTTTCTGACTGAGAAAGGAATTCAACACGATTTGTCTAGTCCTCGCTCGCCATGGCAGAATGGACTTGCGGAACGGGCAAATCAGACATTGCTTCAAGGCTTAAAAACCTTGCTGCATGATGCCAATCTTCCAGAGAGTTATTGGGCGAATCTCTCTCGTGTTTTGTTTACAGTTACAATCGCAGGTTATCTTCAGCGATTGGTTGTACCTCTATGAGAAGATGTTTGGCAAGAAGCCATACATCAAACACATGAAGATTTTTGGTTCTGACATGTGGGTTCGCTCACCACAAAACTCCAAGTTAGACAAGCGTGGATTGCATGGTATCTTTCTAGGTTATCAGAAAGGGTCTTACAGAATAATGATGACTGACTCTAAGACAATTAAGCTCACGAGAAGTGTTGAGTACAATGCAAAGTGGGGGGAGAATGTGGGAATTTTCCAATGTTATCCTGATGACGGTGATGAGACTGAGGATAGTCAAAAGCAACCACAACAACCCACACCCACTGATGAAGGTTCTGAGTCTGAATCTGAAACTGAATCGGGTGATTCAGAGGATTTCAAGAGTGCGAAAGCCTCTATGCGACCCTCTGAAAGCTCTGATCAAGAATTGGAGGAACCATTGTTCACAATAGGTCGTTTTTCTCCTAAGAAGGAAGAGGAGAGTGTTGAAGACTTAAGGCTAATTCGTAGGTCACAGAGAGCCACAAAAGGCAAACCTCCAAAGAGATTTGCTGATGAGTTTGCTAAGATAGCAGTAACAGCTGTTAAAAGCTCCAAGAAGGTATTTGAACCTTCAAGTTTCCAAGAAATCCAAGGTTTGGATTCGAAGGAAGCTGAGCCATGGTTAAATGCCATGAAGGCTGAGCTTGATTCCTTAGAAAGGAACAAAACATGGGAGCTAGTTCCAGTAGTTCCAGGAATGAAACTGCTTGGAAGCAAATGGGTCTTCAAAGCCAAGACAGATCAAAATGGCAAGATAGTCAGACACAAAGCCAGATTGGTAGCCAGAGGTTTTGCACAGGTACCAGGTGAAGACTATCACGAGACCTATTCACCCACAGTGAGATATGAAAGCATTAGGCTTATGCTCAAGCTAGCTGCAGAGGAAAATCTACACATTAGTCACCATGATATTAATACAGCTTTTCTGTACGGATCTCTAGATGAATCACTTTATATGCTTCCACCTGATGGCGTACAGGTAAAACAGGGATTTGTTTGTGCTCTGAAGAAATCCCTTTATGGTCTCAAACAAAGTGCACGGTGTTGGCACACAAAACTCACTGAAGTATTGTTTTCTCTAGGTTTTCAGCAAGGAAAGCTGATCCATGTGTATTTGTCAAAGAGGAGGGGCAAAAGAAACTGTACTGTTTGTTTTATGTTGATGATTTATTATTCTTTTGGAAAGACGTCGCAATGTACAATAGCGCCCTAGCTCAACTGAAAGAGCACTTTGACATGAAAGATCTTGGTGAGGTAAACAACTACCTATCTCTGGAAATAGAGAGAGATCAAGATGGTAACATTCTAGTACACCAGTCACGGAAAATTGCTGATGTGTTAAGCAAACTAAATCTGATGGATGCTAACCCTGTAGACACACCGATGACAACAGGTTATCAGGTAGATGACACTGAAGAAGCATTTTCTGACACTACACTGTACAGGAGTGTGCTAGGCAAGCTAAACTTCATTGCCAGATGTTCAAGACCAGACATTGCTGTTAGCTGTAATTTGCTAAGCAGACAAGTCAACAATCCTAGTGTCAAGGATTGGAAAGCTCTGAAACGCATAGCGCGGTATTTGAAAGGCACTATGCATTACAGACTGAGATTTAACAATCAGAAGTCTGGTGGTCTTGAGATATTTGCAGATGCAAGTTTTGGAAGTGACGCTACAGACAGGAAAAGTACGTCTGGAGTTTGCTACATGTACAATCAGAGTCTGTTTGATTGGTCATGCAAGAAGCAAACAACAGTTAGCTTAAGTACTTGTGAAGCCGAACTGAATGCACTGTCTTATTCACTTAAGGATTGTGAATGGTTAGTACAATTGTGCAAAGATATGAAAATTCCTGTCAAATGTCCAATCCAGGTTTACCAGGACAACAAAGCATGTTTGGCTTTGCTGAAGTCTGAAGGTTGTAAGCAAAGCACAAAGCACTTGCAATTAAAGTTGCAGCATGCTAGGGAATGTATTCAGAAGGGACTCGTAACGGTGTCCTATATGCCAGGTAATGAAATTCCTGCTGATGTATTGTCCAAGATTGTATCAAGGGATCAACACTGTACCTATGTGCAGAAGTTGGGTTTGTACTGATATTGTACAAACACGCTGCCCAGTGATGTTCACAGAAAGGGGGAGGATGTTGGTTTCTGCTTTCCTTCACTGTGCAGCTCTGCTTGTCATGAGACAGGTGTTTACATTCCACAGTCTGTACTGTTGGAGTTTCTCACGGGAAAGGGAGACTGGATGTGACGTACACTGGTTTCCTGTTTTTTCACTGTGTGATTCTCTCCGAGCTGTCGAGGAGAGAGGATGCATTTCTCTGCTTCGGCAGAGGCAAGATGTCTTTCTGTAATATACCAGCTTTGAACTGTAAATAAAGCAATAAGAGTATGCAGCACGTATCGTCATCCTTCCGCTGGGCACGACAGACTCTGCTTTAATTCAACAATACCACCTTTTCCTACAAGGAGCTCGAGTTGGCG